ATCACAATGATTGAGGTATTTTACTTTCTCTGTTTTCATATTTAGTCTTTGAAATTGAGTGTGTACTTTACATTTATAACACATCTCAATTAGACTGGCTACATTTCCATGGCTGGGTAGCCACATGTGGCTTGTGGCCACTGCATAGAATAGCGTGGGCCTAATGTCCACCCAAGATTGAGATCCACTGGAGTAAGAGCACAGTTGTCTCCCGCAGACCAGCCTAAAGCTCTGGGGCTTCTACTGACATTATTGTTTTTACCTTGAGTATTAAGGAAGTTTACTGCAGCTTCTCTCCCTACAGTTAGTCATCAGATGTGGTCATTAGGACATTTGGTTTAATCCCAGTTTAGTCTTAAAAACTGATGTCAGTTTGAAAGCATCAGGATCAAGTAAAGCAAATGAAGCTACATGACCTGATGCTACCAGAGGTGAGAAAGACACTAAGGGAACATTAACAGAGGACAAAGTAAAACAGTGATCTGTTTTGGTTCCATCTCGATGAACTCATAGCTGGGTAAAGGGCGGAGGGGGAGGAGGTGTGAGTATCCCAGAAAAAAACACGAAGTGGATATTAAGCAATCCCTTGATATTCTATGCCACACTTTGACTCAGAATTTCTGACTCCAAATATCACTGAATATTAAATAGGTCAGGATTCTTTTTGAAAAGAGGAAGAGGAAGAGGAGATTTCACCCTCTCTGTTCTTTCCTACAAGGCTCAACTTTCAAAAATAACAACCTTGTAAATTTGTTATAAAAACAAAAGAGATTTCCAAAAAGACAAGAACAAAGATCTGTAGTTCTACCACTTAGAGATAACCACTATTAGCACCCAAGTGTATACTATTTCAGAGCTTTTTGGTGCATCCACTTACACGTATTTTAATAAAAACAGTGTCCCATAGTGAGCACTCTTTTATAGCAAGATTCTTTGTCACTTAACAACATTTTTGTGTTTTCAAGTAATTTAATAATCTCCTGCAACAGCATAGTGAACCTGTGTTTGACTGAACAATGATCTACTTAATCAATCCCCTATAACTGGGTATATAGATTGTTTCCCTCAAACTGCTAATCACACCATGAATGCTAATGCCAAAAGAAGAACATCCCTTGGTCTTTATTTTATTTTATTTTTTGTAAATGTTTATTTATTTATTTTTGAGAGAGAGAGTGCACAAGCAGGGGAGGAGTAGTGAGAGAGAGAGAGAGAGAGAATTAGAAGCGAGCTCCAGGCTCTGAGTTGTCTCCAAGTACAGAGCCTGTTGTGGAGCTTGAACCCACAAACTGTGAGATCATGACCGGAGCTGAAGTTGGATGCTCAACTGACTGAGCCATCCAGGCACCCCTCCTTTGGTCTTTAAATCCAATGAGCTCTTGCCTTAGAGCTAGCTGGGGAAGATGCAGAAGGAAAAAACACACCGTTTTATCACACAGTCTCACTAAGCCTAACCCATTTAAAAAACAATTTTTTTAGGTTTTTTTTTGTTTGTTTGTTTTGTTTTTACGAGAAAGAAAGGGTGTGGGGAGGGCAGAGAGAGAATCCTAAAGCTCCGCATTGTCAGCGTGGATCCCGACGCAGGTCTCAAACTCACGAACTGAGCTGACATTAAGAGCTGGACGCTTAACCAACTGAGCCACCCAAGTGCCCCAGAATCCCAAGCAGGCTCTGCACTGTTAGCACGGAGCCTGATGCTGGACTCAGACTCAGGATCTGCAAGATCATGACCTGAGTTGAAGTCAGATGCTTAACCAACTGAGCCACTCAGGTGCCCCCTCCCCCATTTTGTAATTTATCCTGGTTTGGAGAACAACCAGCAGCGTGCAGGGTGCCGAGGAACGCATAGTAATGCCGTGGAAATGAATCAAACAAATGATATCGAACACCTTTGTGCCACCTTCAGCAGACACCAAGTTTTCTCACTGCTCTGCTCAGGACCTGCAAACCCCAGAGGGACTCCTCTGCCTGCTTAATATGTCAACAGCAGCTTGTGCTTGGGTTTGAATAGGCTTTTCTCTGGTCTTAGAGTTAATCACTTCTTTCAATAGAATCATTCCTGCAGTATAGTTTTGTGGGTGGGTTGAAAAAAAAAGCGTAATAACCCAAGAAGCCTCAAAATTTAAGTTGTTAGTTTTTCTGGCTTGTATAATTTACATAATTATTTGTTCATGCAGCATTTGTATATCACTTCTCTGATTGCTTTATATGATATGAAATTTCCTGGCAATTCCCCAAATGCCAGCTTCTCAGACTGAGTTTGCAGGTTTCAGCCTATGGCAATAAAGCAAATAAATGACTGCAGGGTTGTCCGGCATTCAGATAAGGTAAACACCAGCCTTTTGAGCTGCTACACTGAATTGGACACCTCAGTTTGGAGGAACAGTATCTCTTCTCTTTTATTAATTCTATTAAAACTATTCATGGGGTGGGGAACAGGTTTTATTAAGCCTGGAGGATTAAGATAATTCACTCTTTGCTAGTATTTGGTGCACCTGTATCTTTGCGGCACATATATGGATCATCAGAGAGTTGCTTTTAAGGGGATCTGGTAAACTTGCATTATGCCTGTCATATAAAAATTCAATAAAACAAGTGTTTATCACATCTTTATTCGGTGTCAGGCTCTCTTTGCCAAGTCTCCAGAGAGAGGTGCAAGAAATATTCCTGCCTTCAAGGAGTTCATAGTTTAAGGAGGGAGATAAACACATGCTATAGGATGCGATTTTAGCTGAGGGAAGTAGGAGTGTGATGCTCCAGGAACATCCAAAGGGAGTGATTTATCTGGAAGGGTCTAGCCTGCTTTTCCAGCCCCATCAGATCTGTATTTGAGGAAAGACTACAGTGGCAGCAGTAGGGAGAAGGGAAACCTGATAGGATGCCATTTTCATCATTCAGGAGGAAGTGAGGGAGGCTTGATTCAGGGACTAGAAAGAAGTACGAATGAAGGTTGGTGCAGTATGTGTTCTTTCTCACTAAGCTCATAGTGCTTCCAAGTGTACTTGGTTCCACATTTGGGTTCAAGGACACTTATATTGGGGAAAATTGGGAAGATAAGCAAAAGACAGGCAATTTAACTGTAGATGCTGCCTATGGAAAAGTTTAAATAGGGATGAGCTAATGGAGAGGAAGTATCTGAATGCATCCAATCAATCAGAAGTATTTCCAGCAAGTTCAGAGTGGAAAGCTGACTGACCAGTCTATGGTAGGTTAGCTAGGAGCAAAAAAAAAAAAAAAAAAAAAAAAGTCCCCATTTGAAATAAAGTCAAATCACTTGACAGAATGAGTTCTTTTTTTTTTTTTATGTTTTTTTTTTTTAATTTCTAGGAGAGAGAGAGAGAGAGAGACAGCATGAGCAGGAGAGGGTCAGAGAGAGAAGGAGTCACAGACTCCGAAACAGGCCCCAGGCTCTGAGCTGGCAGTCAGCACAGAGCCCGACGCGGGGCCGGAACACACAAACCGCGAGATCATGACCTAAGCGAAAGTCGGACGCTTAACCGACTAAGCCACCCAGGCGCCCCCAGAATGAGTTCTTAAATGATGATTTTAAATAAACTCATGGCCTTCTTTTGTTTACTCACTAAATTCAGGTCCCAGAGCCAGCTTGCTTGGATTTGAGCCATGGCTCCCATACCAGCTTTGTGACTTGGCACAAGTTACTGAAGCTTTCTGTGCATTAGCGTATTAATAGTACTAAGGTTGTACACATAAGGTTGGAGTGGGAAATATTGATTTACTAGATGTGAAGCTCCTAGCACAACACCTGGCATGGAATGCTTACTGATATGGGCTCCTTCTGTCCACACGCGTGCTGTACTGAGCAGTCCCAGGTAGCAGGTGCATTTGAAGTCCTGGTCTTAGAGACTAAGATGTTCCTATCCCAACCTCAAAAAGCTCATAGTCTATTGGAGATGATAAGTGGGAATAAATGATTGTGGGCCAATATGGCAAGTGCTACAACAGAGGTATGCACCCCACACTTTGGAGAACAGAAATGAAGATGATGAAGGAGGGCTGAGCTGAGACCTGTTACCTACTCACCACAGCAAACCCACTGGGCTTCAGCGAACCCACACTCCTTTTAATCCCCCATTTTCTTCTCCTGCACAAACTTCCTCTGTCTGCACCCTTTAGTGCAGGAGGAGGACCTCAGTTTCTTCTAGATCCTTTGTTTAGAAAGCATAATTAGATTATTTCACCCTGGCTTCCTTGAATGAGGAAATAAATAAGCAGATGCTTCTGGAGTATGGGGCTAGGTGTGTGCTCCCCCTTGGCCACAGGGACTGGGAAGGAGGAATAGAAAGGTTCTGGGGAGCACACTCACAGATTAGACCCAAGTTTTCGTTAAATAAACAGAGGCATCTCAGGGCCTTGGTGAGGATGTCGGGTGAGGACAAGGCACAGAGGTAGGTGAGGACAGGATGGAGTATAGTTCTCGGGTTCCTTAGGTACATATGGCAGGGGGGTAGGTGGCTAGTGAATTGGAAGGGTAAGGGGGGGATGATGTAATGGTTTTAGTCCAGCTACCAAATAGCCCCATCAGTCAATAACTCAAGTAGGCAAGACCACAGTAAAACAATGACATTTAGAAAGCTTCATTTTTTTTCCTTTTTCTCAGAGTCCAATGCTCAATTGAGGAGACTGTTACTAAAAAGATTACTGAGCAGAAACCTGGAGATATTTTAAATCTCAGTGGATTTGGTGAAGCTCTTGGCTCTTTCTGCTGCCAGCCCTTTTTTGATAAGGTACCACCACTAACAGCACCACTTTTCTGTTTGTAAAGTGCCTCAGAAGCATGTTCCATTTGATTTTCATGTTCACTGTATATGGTAGGTCCTGTGAAGTGGGCTTTAGGGTTATTTTCATATAACACATGCTGATAAGCAAGGTTAAGATGGTCCAAAAGTGAGGGGTGGGACCAGGGCTCCAGCCTCAACTGGAAGCCATTGTTTATCCCTCTCTGGAACCCAAGCAAGCAGTTGGCAATACAGACGACTTACCTCCTTTCCTTCTTCCACAGAAAGAAAATTTGGGTAGGTCCTCTTCACAGATGGGATAGGAGAAATTCAAAATGGACGATCCTTTAGTGAAGAGAGCTATGTCAAGAAACAGCTCTTTGATGTCCTCTCCTTGAAGAGAAGAGATCAGTTTTACTGTTAGTGTGGGTTTTGGTGTGTATCAAAGCATTCAACATTTATAGAAGCATGAGCAGAAGGGCCTTTATTTCCAGAAGTCTGCCCTGTTCTGGGAAGTTTTCTGCCCTTCTTCTATTTTTCCTTCCTTCCTAACTTCTCTTTTCTTTCCTTCTTCCTTCCTTCCTTCCTTTTTCTCTCTTCCTTCCTTCCTGACTTCCTGCCTTCTTGTCTTCCTCTCTTCCTTCTTTTTGTTCTTTCTCTCTCTCTTCCTTTATTATAAAATCGCACTGAGGCAATGTTACAGGGGATAATGGTAGAAGCTCTTGGTATGAACTGTGGCCCTTTTATGAACATTCTCTGTTTAGAAGAAAGTAGTCCCTCTGCTGTGCTCCCTCACTCTGATGCTCTGGCTTCTACAACTTCTCAGCTGTGCCTTCCTCCACAGTTGCTAGGTAGATACTGTATCACAGTTATACAGGAAGTTTTAGGGTTCTCTTCAGTGCTGGCTTCCTATTCTCTGTGCCTTTTCCTCAATTTCTCCCTTTTATGTTCCACGTACTCCTCATTCCATTTCTCCTTTACTCAGCTGCTGCCATAGAATCCATATATTGTGCAAGATTCCAGAAATATGAAGATGGATGAGGGTTCTTGGTCCCCAGCAATGTTCCCTCCAGTTCTCTGGAATAATTCCACATGTTAAGTTTGCTAAATCCTTCTTTTCTGGTTTTGATAAAACCACTTTAGAAAGGAGATACTCTAGTAGCTATAGCCATATAATGACTAACTGTAAAGTTATGGCCAAATAAAAATAATCAGACAGCCATCTAGCTCATTGATTGGTGTGGAGGGAGAAGGTAATTGTCTTTCTCAAAGGTGTAAGGAATCACATTAACTATTTGGGAAATGAAATAAAGCAAATTATAAACTATGCTGCTACAGATTGACTTGTTTGTTGCTGGGATAACAAAGCAAAAGCTCTCTCCTGCATAGACATCAATATTAGGCTTGACATGTTATCTTTCGTTGCTGCTGGATATACCGATTCCAGGTGCTTATATCATCCAAATGAATGCTTAGAGTAGCTTTTCAGTACAAAAGCACAACATTCAGTGAGAGTTCTGCTGTGTCTGGATATCACTCAGAAAGAGAAGTGAAAATAGAGATGGAAATAGAGTTAATCCCACAGAATGGTGGGCAACAGTGGCTTAGCTGGCTGCTATAGTTACTGTAAGAAATAGGCGTGTGTGGAGCAGGAAGAGATTGTGCAATGTTTCACTTCATGTCAATAATCTTTACTTACTCAGAATGAATCCAAGTTTAATGTTGAGGTTTGACTTTAAGTGTTTAGAACACTGGTCAACAGAAAAGCCAAAATCTTGTAGTGGATCTGCCAAGAAAAACACAACAGATTAGGTGCGAGTACATTGTATATGCTGCAAACTCACATTAAAAATTCACACCAATGATATTATTTTTTCCCTAAATGAATCACTAAAATGTATTCAAAAACACATTGCCCAGCACTTTTTGCTTCTTGCATAAATTCACAATGTCTTCAATAATCCCTCCAAGTCTCTCTAAAACCAATGTTGGTCAACACCATGTTCACCAATGGAAGGCTTTCAATCTGAAATGAGCACATTATCTTGATGGATGGGTGACAACCCAACTTAAAATTTTTATCATTACTTGAATTCTTTTAGTTCCTTAACCTTTGGGCTTAAAATTGCTTATTGGTTATTCCAAACATTTCACAAAGCATTATTATGATTAAAAAAGTGGGGAACCTATACAAATTTTCAAATTTAAGACCTGCCTTTATAAGGTCATACCATTCCATCTCATTCAATGTAATATTTTTTCCCAAATATTCCATTTTATGCAAGGTATATCTTTTACGTTTATCTTCTGCTCATTAAGAAATCTCCAGCAGCTTATCTATGCCTCAGAATAAAGTCAGGATATGTTCTACTGGCCCCACCTTCCATATTCCACATCATTATTCCAAACTCCATGTTTTTGAGATCAGATAATCACCCAGAAAATTCCTGCCAAGTTACCTGACTATGGCTTTCTCTAACATGTAATGGTCTTACCTTTTGGCTGTTGTCTAAATACTGAGGTCTTACTCACTCCCATCTTTTTTGTGAGTGTTTCCCTGACCATCCCCCAAATATTTTTTGGCTTCTCCAAATTCTTAGAACAGCTGTCTTAAATATTCCTTCAAAGCATACCAACATATATTACTTTGTAATCTGCTCTTGGACTCATCCTACAACACTCAATCTAAACATGGAAGCTCCTGGAAGAAAGGAGCTGGGTTCTTGTTTTTGTTTGGTTTCTGTGTCCTTTCCTTTTGTTTCTCACTGGGCCTGAAAGAGAACTAATTTTAACTGAGGGTCTAAGTTGTAATGGTCACCAAGTTGTGCACTTTATAAGAGTTTTCTGATTCATCCCAGACTCCCTAGTGTCTAGCTCAGAGCCCCACAGTTGAACACATGGAAAGCACCCCATACATGTAGGCACCAGTGGATGAATGGGCCATGAGTTAAGCTGTTCTCCCTCAGCTCCAAATCCAGACTTTCAAACTCTATAAAGCCAGAGCTCTCTGCAATCACCCTTCTCCTTTGCCACCTACCAGCAAAAGTGCCAGAGGGAGACTGAAGCTGAGTGAGGGAAAAAATATGCTCCCTCTTGCATACTTGCTGGTCCTTGAGAGTGTCACCTGGAGATGGCCTGTCACCCTGGCAGTGACAATAGGTTGTAGTGTCCAGCTCTCTTCTGTACCTTCCCAGAATTAGCTGAGACTCAGCTTCATGAGCTCCTAAGCTTCTGCTACAACAGTTTTCTGCAGAAACTGTCTCCCCTTCCCCAGCAATCTGTGCCTCAGCTCCACAGGGTCCTTCTTTGAAGCTTCCAGGTTCTGATAACTTCAACCTCTGCCTGCTGCTCTCCCATCTCTCCACGTGGTCACTACTTCCTCACTGTTCCAATGAAAATAACTGACATGATCTGTATTTTCCCAATGGGAATCAGACTGCTAGAATAAACAACAATCTTGAGAGAGAGAGAGAGAGCTATGATTTTCCTCATTTCACAGATGGGAAAATAGAGACTCAGAGAGGTTCTGTGAACTTATCCAGGTCCCATAACTGTCAGGTGGGTAGAATCAAGATTCAAGCCCAGACTTAACAACAAACAAAAAATTATAGCATTATAGCCCAGTATAGTGCAGAAGTATTCATGAAATAGAACCTCAAAGATATATGTTAAGGATTTAATTTGTAAGATGGCCTGGAATATTTTGTGCACAGGCATATGGCATGTGATAATTCTGTTTCATAACTGGTTTTAATTTCGCTTAGCTATGAGCTCACATTTGTCAATGATGTTATTCCAGACAGTTTTATCATCCACACTGCTGACCTGGAAGATATGTGATTGTCTGTGGTATCTGCTGTGGAAATGATCACTCGGCTATTTTGCCTTGCAAATCTAATGTAAGGTGCACTTCTGTTTGATCATACCCTCTTTGATCTGGCCACTCATTCTCCTGGGGAAAGACCATTTTATCTTGTGTTCATTTTATACCTTACTAAGCATCTTAGTGCGGTCCTGGGGTTCTTTAGGCTTGGGGAATGGGAAAGGAGACATGGAGACAATTGTCCCTGCTCAGTATTTGTCACTCCATATTGAGAAAGAGAGGTCAATGAACAGACATTTGGGAAAGCGCACTTGCATGTTTATTGATGTTTTAAAGTTTAGATAAAAAGGATAAACAAAGGGCAGGTGAAGGAAATAAAACATCCTGATACTGGAAAAATATTGTTAGAAAAAAATCTTAAAAAAATTATATTTCAGGGTGCCTGGGTGGCTCAGTCGGTTAAGCATCCAACTTCAGCTCAGGTCATGATCTCACAGTTCACGGGTTTGAGCCCCGCGTTGGATTCTGTGCTGACAGCTCAGAGTCTGGAGCCTGCTTCAGATTCTGTGTCTCCCTCTCTCTCTGACCCTCCCCTGATCACGCTGTCTCTCTCTCTCCTTCTATCTCAGAAGTATATAAAACATTAATTTTTTTTAAGTTGAATTACATTTTTAAAAATTTTATTTCTTGGTGGGGGGAGGGGCAGAGAGAGAGGGAGGTAGAGAAACCCAAGCACGCTCATTGTCAGCGCGGAGCCTGATGCAGGGCTCAAACCCACGAACTGTGAGATCATGACCTGAACCAAAACCGAGAATTGAAAGCTTAACCAACTGAGCCAGCCAGGCACCCTTGTTCTAAGCTTTATACTTCCTTCTGGTTCCAGTTTCTCAGAGGCCCTAGAGGCCAGGGCCATGGGGATCCATCCCATGAACTGTGAGATCATGACCGGAGCTGAAATCAAGAGTAGAACAGCTTCACCTACTTAGCTACCCAGGTGTGTCCAGGAGAATAATCTTAATAGGGAACAAAATCACAAAGCAGTAGGTTGCTTCTCTCTGAGGAAGTGTACATAAAAACATGAAGACAGATTGCTTCAGGAGCACCTGCATGGCTCAGTTGGTTAAGCTTTCAACTCTTGATTTTGGCTTAGGTCATGCTCTCATGGTTTATGAGTTTGAGCCTCACAGCTGGCTACATGCTGATGGCACAAAGACTGCTTGGGATTCTCTTTCATTCTCTCTCTGCCCCTCAGCTCTCTCTATTTCAAAATAAATAAACTTATAAAAAGACAGATAGCTTCAAAAATACTTAAGGGTTTGGTGATCTTTCTTAGCGGTTATTTTTATTCTATATTTGAGATCGAATTTTATATTTGAGAGTGAACATTCAGTTTGCAGTTGTGTTGGGGAAAGTGACATCAATTCCTCCTGTCCCCCAGTCTCATCCTCACTGAGGCTAGCCTTCCCTCTATAGATATGTTTTCACTCAGGCTCTATGTTGCATTGTATTTTCTTTATACCTTTGCCATTTCTCTACTTGATGGTGTAAGGCAGGCTTCCAGCCTCAGGGCCTAGGACAATACTTTAAGATTATGCTAAGTTCCAAGTGATTGTTTGCTTAATTGAATGATAAAGGTTATGTGTAATAAACTTGTAGAGAACTCTAAGGTAGATTTTCTCAACCTGTGTACTACTGACATTTTGGGTCAGATAACCATTTTTTGTGGGAGTTGCCCTGTGCATTGTAGGATGTTTGCTGCATCTTGGCCTTGACCCCCCAGATACCAGCAGCATCCCCTACCCCTAAATCCAATTGTGACAACCAAAGATATCTCCAGACATTGCCAAATGTGCCCTGGAGGACAAACCAGCCTCTGGTAGAGAACCTCTGTTTTCAAGAACTTCTTTCTCAGTTACCAGGCAAGTACCTTGGAATTGCCTACCAAAATAAAACATGGCAGGTTGCATTTTTTAAGTAGTTCTTCTTATGTAATTTGAGAACTGCTGGGGGCGGGCGGGGGGGGCAGGAGGGAGGGCGGTGAGAGGAGAGACTCCCTTGGACACTCGCCTCAAGTAATTTTTAATACATATAAATTGGATTATCTGAACTTGGATCTTCTGAAAGAATGAGATTGGAAAGTTAATGAGAGTTGGTGTTCCCAGGCTATGAGGGCAGAGATAAATGTTTCCTCTAGACACTTCATTGTAGCACACCAAATGAGCTGAGGAAAAAGCCAAAGCTTCTTTGTGAAATATACAATCTTTTCATTTTAAATATTTTTCCTTTAGCCTCTGTGTTATAACTCCTTTCCGTCTCTTCTGTTGACATCTATGGCTTTTGCCCAAGATGGCGTGGGGGATGGTAGTTGCGTGGAGTGAGCCAGGGATGCTCCCAAACTGCTCCTGCTGTCCCTGGCCTCTGGGAAACGTGTCCATATGGAAGTCAGGTTCCTCTAAACGGCTAAGAGCAGATCGTGCTGGGGGTGAGGAAGAGGTTCCCCCTGCATCTGCCTTGCCTATTAGGGGTAGCGGTCCTGGAACTGTTTTACTGCCCATTCATAGAATAGAATAGACTTAGATAAACAGGTGGTGCTAAGTGTGAGGAGGGTATTAGCAAATCTCAGCTCCAGAAAAATTATTGTGCCTTAAGCTCTGTTGGTGGCCTGTGTTCACCCGGTCTGGGTCGGAATTGGACAGTCCAGGAGAGGACAGGCTTGCCTTGGTGGTTTCTAGCCAGTGCCAGACCTCAGCTACAATCAGGATAGAACACCAAACCCAACAGCACAGGCTCTCGAAATACAGTTCTTTACTAGAGGATGGTGGGGATTCAAGCTTGATGGCTGTGCTGCCCTCTGCTGTGTTCCCCACTGCTTTGTTCTCAGGCATGGCTTGCTAAGTCCTGGAGTCCCTGGGCACCACCTGGCAGGCACCCCATAGCCCATATTCCTGGGTGCTTTGAGGGTT